TACCGGCCCAAAACTCTTCTCCTTGGCTTCAGAAGGTGGGTCTGTGGGCTCAGGGCTATCCACTCCTTCCTCCTCCTCCTCCTCCAGGAAATCTAGGGAGTAAAGGCGGAGTTAAATACCCCGAGGGTCCTGGCCGCTCGGCACAACCCCCTGCAGCGTGCTGGCCCAAGGCAAGGAGGCAAAGCTTGTCTCCAGCAAGAGATTAACCTGCGAACGGCCGCTGGGCGACAGAGACTGAGAGCTGGCGGGCACTGACTGATGCTCACCAGGGCTGGCAGCTCCAGGCTCTGCCTGTTAACCCCTCCAAACCTTAGCCACATCTTGGCACCACTCATTTCATCCGGGAGCAAAGCTAGCCTGCCAGGGCTTTACCAGGCTGCAAGTCGACAGCAAGGCAGGCTCTGAACAACCTGGCTCCTGCGGGTCCCCCTGAGCATCCCCAGATTCCGTGGACATCCCCAGACTCCACACCAGGTCTGGTCGTATCCTGCTGCCCACTGACCAGGCCAACCCAGGAGATGTGGGTACTCGGCTTCAAGAAGCAGGGAGGGCGAATCCCAACCCTAGCATCCCACTTCCCATATCCCGCAGCGCTCTGTGGCTGAGCCGAGCGGGATGCGTGACCACAGGGCACACGGGACTGCTCAGAGGCAAGCTGATCCACGCAGCCCTGCCCTCCTCGAGCCCCCCAGCATCGCTCATCCCGATGAGTTGCATCTCCGAGCGGATGGGCTGGTGGGCAAGGATGCCAGGTGCTCAGCCCCGTGCCAAGCTGCTGAGAGATGTCCAAAAAACTGCCAGTGGGGAGCAGTGACTCACTGTCTGGGTTGAGGAAGAGAAACGCTCGCTGGCGTGGATCCTCCTCCTCTTCATCCATTTTCATGTACTTATAAAAACCAAACCTGGGAGACAGAGAGGAAAGATGAGGTCCCGGAGATAAGGGAGGGGTGTACGCGCAAAGGGACGTGCTCGCACACACGCGAGCCCGCGTGTGCGTAGGGAGGAACATCCCTGGCTGCAGCGCAGGCACCCGGGCACTGCCTGGCTCCGAAGGGAGCTGGGATTCCCAAAATCCAGGAGCACTGCCAGGTCTCAAGCTGCTACATGCCCGAGAGATGGGAAAAGAGCCAGCCTGGAGGTGGCCCTTCTGTGGGGGACGGAGCTTGGCGACACATGGCTGAGGATGCATCATCTCAGCGCCGTTTCTCCAGCTCTTTGAGTGCCCTGTTGACATGAGCCCCTTCCTCCCCCTCCACGTACCATTCCCAAATACCACCCCCCCAACACTTACTTCTCCAGGTAGAGGGGGGACTCCCTGTAGAAGCACTTGTTCTCCGTCTCCATGTGAGTGAGGCGCGTGAAGTCATTGGGGTACACGAACGAGAGGTAGACCTGAGGAGACGACCACGCCGCCATCACCCTGGTGCAGAGCAGGCTCGCTCTGAGGAAGCGGGGGCCAGCAGGGCTAGGAGCCGTGGACCCAAGGCCACCGGCACAGCCCCTCAACACTGAGGTGACCCCCAAGCATCTCAAACACCCCCCAAGGCTTTTAACCCAAACCCTTTTGGGTCAAGATGGGGAAGCTCAGCCTGATCCTCCAGCGAGGGACATTTTCTCCTGGATTTTAACCAGGTGGAAACATCCCTGCCCTGGGGTGGGGGCAAAGCACTCTGCTTCGCCCTGTCCCCCATGGGAGCGTGACCCCATCCCCGTTGCAGGGAGACACTTACAAATTGCAGGCCCTGGTAGCGGGCGATGGGGAAGTCCTTCACCACGTAGGTCGGGCTGTAGGCACAGGGCACTAGCACATTCTCCACTCGGGAGGCCTCAATCGCAGGGGCTGAGGAGAAGCAGCCGCGGCTCAGCCCCAAGCCGTGCCCTACCACCCCCGTAGCCCAACCCACCTTATAGTCTGTAGCCCAAACCATCCCAACTTGCCCCCCTATAGACCCCAGCAGAGATGCCCTCCACCCAAGAGATGGGCAGAAGGTAGGAGGGATGCTCTGGGTGCCTGTGACAGCCAGGTCCTGCCTTTTTCCTTCCCCAAAACCCCACAGAGATGTGTGAGGGTCCAGTCCCAGCCACTTACTGAGGAAGAAGGTGTCCCTGGGGTCAGACTTCAGCATGTCAGCCCCGTGCTCATCTTGCTGTGCCTCCCAGAGGTAGCTCCCGCTATGGCTGGCCAAGGTCTGCGGGATGTGCTCCACGTGGTTCATCTTCAGGGACGATTCATCTGAAGAACGCGAGGACAGGGGCTGAACCCCACGGGCATATGGCATACGGAGCATTGCCCCAGGAGCATCCTCCAAGGTGGCACTTCCCAACCTCTCCATCCCTCCCATCAAGGAGGCTCGGAGGATTGTGGATTCCTCCTGCTCCGAGGGGAACAAGGGGAGCTGATGTGTTTGCACGAGGGCAAACCCAGCTCCTCCAGCCCTCTCTCACACTCACAGACCCCGTGACTAATCAGCCTAATGATTATTGCCATCAACTAACGAGCACCGAGAAGACAAGGGTACAACTGATCTCAGCCAGGCAGCCCAGCTCCGATTACAGCATCACACCACGCTCAAAGACAAGGGGTGACAATGCTTGGAGGCTTTAACTCCCAAGGACACAGGAATTAAACCGTGAATGTTCTTCCCCACAGAGGTGCAGGTAAATGCAACATGAGCTGGTTTTGCCTCCTATTCAGGGATGAGGGTGGCATGTTGTCCTTGGCTATCAACCAGCCCCCCGGAACCTCCCCGAGGGAGGTCACCTTGCTCCAGTCACCATCACCACGCTCAGAGCTGCCTGCCCTGAGCACCCAAGGGTGCTCCCTTTCCAGGCAGCCCTGCTACGGAGCTGCAGGGAAGCAGGCAGGTCCTAAAGTGAACAGGACCCCCTTTCCCGAGCCCCAAATTCTTCTGCTTGCAGCAGGGAAAGGCTCCCCAAACGCCTCCGTGCAGCTGGCTGAGGTTGGGCTGCAACCCCTGGAAAAGCCCAGAGAAAAGGAAGGAAGGAGGATGCTCTGCGTGCTGCTGGCGTCCCCCATGCCACAGGTATGGGCTCCCCACCAGTGACGTGGCTTCGCCCCGGGATGCTGCTGGGGTCTGAGGGAGCCGGGAAGCAGGAAAGAGAAGCGGAAAGAGACAGCACTGACGGATAGCGGTCAGGGAGGAATTTATTTGCACTTCATCCATCTCATGGGAACCGGCATCAATACCAGCAATACCCCTCCATCCCTCTTCTCCTCATTGATCCCCACCTGTTGCCTGTCCCCTCCTGCGCTATCGACACCTTCCAGGGCATGTTTGATGACCAGTCCTCCAGCGTATTGAGCGCTGGGGCAGGACCCATCTATCAAGTCCCTTCCTGCTGCCAGGGAAGGGGCAGGAAGCAGAAGATCTATAGATTTAATTAAACCTTGCGCCATCCATCCCTGCTTACACGACAGCTCTCCATAACTCAGGGCCAGGCCAAGGAGCCAGCCCTCCGTGGTCTCATTAGCAGGGACGAGGCTGGAGCACCAGGAGAGCTGTGTTTCCGTGGCATGCCACCTTGCATGCCATTTTTAGGAGGGTCGCAGCACGCTGCCAGCATCACCCCTACCCACCACAGCCCCCTGCCTCCTTCCTTACACCCAGCAGAAGCTCTAGGGGGGTTGAGAAGCTGAGATCTTCCCCCAGGATCTGATTTCCCAGGATCTGGTTTTCTTCCCGGGCTCTGGTGCTGTCTCTCCCCAGCTGCACCAACACGCACAGCCCCCTCAAGAGCTTGCTTGCTATGGCTGCAGGCGGACACGCGTGAGCCTTACCTGTGTACAGAGAGATGTAGGAGGAGTCGATCACTTCGAACTTCAAGCTGGGGAGGAAAACTCGCCACTAGGAAAAAATAAAAGGAGATGGAGAATGAGTGGGGGGGGTGGCAGGGGTTCAGGATGCAGCTGCCCAACCCCAGGCACCCTAGGGTGGGTCCTCCCCCATCCTCAGCTCCCAGAAACTTGCCTGCACTGATCCCAGCCCTGACCCTGCAGGAGAGAAACAAGGGAGAGGACTGATCCTGCCCCAGCACAGACCCAGGCCCATCTCCTGCCTTTACCCCAGGTGATTTGGGATTAGCAGGCATCCCCTGCATGGTCAGAGAGGGGAAGGCTCCCGGAGGTAGGACACAGGCTCATGCTGCTTCCCTGTCGGGACTGCCACATGGCCACCTGTGGTCCTCCGGGCCAGGCAGGCCAGATTCAGCCCCGCATCACCAGAAGCATCGATAACATCATGGGAGGCAGCACAGCCACATGTCCTGCCTCGCAGGGGAGGGACGATGCTGGGGCACGGGGCAGCTTCTCCACACGCCCCGCTTCAACCCTGGGGAACAGAGCAGGGAGGCCACGGCACCCATCAAGGACCAGAGCCAAAGCCATCATGCACCGAGACCTACAACGCCTCCTCTCCTTCCTGCGCCCTGCTCCGGTGCTGCGTGAAGGCACATTAACAGCAGACAAGTTTGCGTTGACTTAAAGAGGGTCTTCACAGCTGCCTGCGCTGATTTAACTATGTGTATTTTAAAAGCATGTCGAGCCTTTGTCCAGACAAGCCCTTAAATACCCACAGGGAGAGATGCATTAGGGTCCTGGTTTTTTGTTGTTTCTTTCTGAACATCTGAAAGGCTTCCCTCCCTCCAGCAAAAAAATGTCTCCCCCATCTATTTGTTTTTCACAGCAGAAATGCAGATCTTATCAGGATGGACCGAGATGGAGCCCTGGGAGGGCGAGGTTGAGCGACGGGGAGGAGGGAGCCAGCGAGGAAGGGGTGTTGTCAGCCTCTCTGATGCTTTGCTGGCACAAGTTTGACTCCAGTGATTAATGACTGCTTGGGAGAAAGGAAACCTTTGCTAACGAGCCAACATATTCCCCTCCCAAAGACAGCCTGAGCTCCCAACACACACTCCAGGCTTTGCCAGGGTTGTGCAGCCAAGGCAGACAAGTTCAGATTTGAAACTCATGGTATCTCTACGGAAGAGAAATAAAAAGGGACCTGCTCCATCATCTCGGCCATCTCTCCCACCACTGACCCTGGGACACAAGCCAGCAAGATGGGCTGCCACTCACAGATGGTGTCCTGGGACCTGCCTGCTCTGACCTTACACGGTCTGGGCTCTCCTTGCCCATGGCAATGGGCTCCTCAGAGAAGCAGCCCATGGGGGACCTTTCTGCCTCTGCCAGTCCTCCTGCAGAAGGTCAAAGAGAAAGGAGAAGGGATGGGACTGGCCACACAGAACTGGGTGTCCCAGCGCCACTGGAGCCTGGAGCGAAGGGGCTGCTCCGTTAGCATCCATTACGGGAGCACATCAGCAAGGCAGGAGCACAAGCGAGGGATGGCAGCGTCTTTAGCTCCCGAAAGGCCAGCAGCACAAAAGGATCGGATGAGCACGGAGAAAAGCAGCCCGTGCCAGGCGTCCTGCGCAGGAATAGCCCAGGGAGATGAGAAGATGAGCCCCAGCTCTGTCAAAGTGACTCTGACTCGTCGCTGAGCCGCTGGCAGCCATGGGAAATCGTGGCTTTGCTCCAGGATAAAGTGTTTTAATGCACGCTGGGAAAAGCCCTGGCATCAGCTCTTGACAGGACAAGCCTTGAAAGGAGCACAGGGTGGGGACATTTACTCACGCCAACTTCCACGTGGTCTGAACCTCGGTCGTCTTGTTTGTGGAGCAGCTCGAAGTAGTAGCGTCTGGAGGACATGAGGCTGCACAAGAAGGGAAGAAGCCAGTTAGAAAACATTGCTGAGCTGACTGCTACCACTGCCGGTGCGATGGGAGCTCTCCCACTAGAGGAGCCATCTCAGGAAACTGCCTCTGTCTTGCTCACATGTGGCTAAACCTTCCTGGGGCAAGGAGACAGGCAGCGTGATGTGGGTATCTGCTCCTCCATCCCACTGCTGAGAAGCTTCATGAGATCGGGGGGATCCCCCGTCCCCATGTCATCATCTGCAGCAGTGGCTGCAGCTCCCAACATCTTCAAGCCATGGGCCTGGGGGCATGGTTGGTTGAGCTCCTGTCCAGCCCAGACCCCACATGCCTTTTGGGAAGAGACCATGGCCGGGGTCTCCTCCTGGGGAGGAGGAACTGGTCAGAGTCAGCTTGGAACCAACAGCTCCATCTCCCCAACTCCATCCACCCGGAATGTGCAGCAGGAGCAAGGACACACTTACCGTAAAGGCTTGGAGACTTGCGAGCTGAATTTGGTGAACTCTCCCGGCGCCGTCCACTCAGTGCCCAGCTGGAGGAAGGAAGAAGGAGCGTGTGAGAGCACCGGGGACACGACGGGCCAAGCAGGCACGAGGCCCAAACCCCACCGGGCTGTGAGAATCTCTCCTCCACCTCCATCGGGCACTATGCCATGCTGCAGAACAGCTCTTCAGGCAGGAGGATATCCCAGGAGTTCTATCCCAGGGCCTGCTTGTCCCCAGCTGGTGGCACTCCAGCCACAAGAACTTGTCACCAGCCAACAGTACTAAGATCCCAAAAATGATGGGTGCAATGACGGACCACAGGGTTTCCAGTTACAGGAGTTAACGCCAAGAAAATCCAGGAGCAAATATTAAATCTGGGACATAAGCTGGTCTTTGGTAGCTACAACTAGGATGGGACCAAGGGGCAGATGGTCCTTCAGAAGCCAACCCAGGCCTGGCCAGGGGCAGAGATGGGACCAGGCTGAAATAGCCCGGCATTTCCTAAGGGGGCAAAGAAGCAGGTGAGCTGCCTCCGGCAAAGTCACGCACGGACCCTGCACGCTCCCTTTAAGAGCTGCTGCAGCAGAGGCACTTGTAGAAGGGAGAATTTGTGGTGGCTGAAGAGCGCCCATGGGTTTGAAACATCGTTAATTGAGTGCTAGAGACCCCCAAAAGGCACTCAGGATGGTTATCAGCATACTGGGAGCGAGGAGCAAGGCACCCCGAGGGAGCAGACGCCCTCGGTGGGAGCTCGAGCATCCCTGGTGCAGGGAAAGGCAGAGGGTCGAGGATGACGGCGCGTACCTTGCCCACGAATGCAGCCAGCCGGGAGTTGGACGGACTCTCATCAGAGCTGAGCCAGAACTCCGAATTGTCATCCGATGCCACAGAAAACTGGAAATCCCCTGGGGAGAGCAAAGGAGAGGGTCACCACAGCGGGATACAGCAGATGGACAGAGGTGATGGGGTCTCCCCAGACCCCACATCGTGGCTCTGTCCTGGATGGGATCGGGGCTTCGTCTCCCTTCGAAGCAACTATGGAGCTCCTGCCTGGGACCCAGGGGTTTGGGGACAGTCTCTAGGAGCCCTTCTGTCCTCGTGTGGCCCAAGAAGCGGGAAGGAGGCAGCTTCTCCACATTGCTGCAGGGAGAGAAGAAGCCAAGCTCCATCACTCACCATCCTTGAAGGGGTGGATGTAGCCAAAAATCCTCAGCCCGTAGTTCTTCCACTTGGGTGACACAGCCAGCTTTTTCACTGTGGTGCGGGTCTGCGGAGGAGAGACAGAGACATGAAAGCATGAAGAGTTCATGCCCAGGCTCATGCCTGGCACCAACATCACCCTGCCCACCTCCTCCTTGTTATCCTGGCGTCCCGTGCCCTTGGCACCAGAGGGGACATGGAGGTCCCATCACCACCCACCTCTCCCTCCATCCCTGCTCTGCTGGGAATTACCTGCCCCAAACCAAACCCAAAAGCCTGCAAGCAAAGGTCTTGAGGACCAAGCCCACAGCCAGCGGAGATCCAGCAGCATCCAGAGAGGGATAAGCGGACCCTCCCTCCGACCCACCGCCATCAGGCCCAGGACTCACATGGGGAAAGAGCGGAAAATGGAGGTTCTTCCTCAGGTGCCTCACGGCCCCTCCACACCAGTCTTCGAAGACGTGCAAGTTTGCCTTCCCTTTGTACTGCGGGACGAGAGAGGCAGATGAGCAGGGTGTCCTCCTCACATCCCCCCTCACCTCCCAAGGACAGCATTAGGGCAGGCTGAAACGGGCATGTCAAGCCCTAGGGGTGTCACCTGCCCAGCCTCAGCTCTTCTGCAGTGACACTGAGGAAAGGCTGAGCTCCCATCCCTGTGCCAGCCCCAGGGTCACGACACCAGCCCCCAGGAGATAACCCTCCTCCTGCTGCTGCTCCTTTGGTTCCCAAGCACATTTGGACAAGGGATGTTTGTCTGGATATGGCACCAAAGGCCCAACCCCATCCTCCACCCACCCCCAGCATCCATCCCACCAGCATGCAGCCAGCACCAGGAGGCGGGCACAGCATGGACCCATCTGGAGAAGACATGCAGCAAGATGCCCCCTTGCACACCCACGCGTGGGGGCACAGCCTGACGAGGGAGCTGATGCACACCCACAACACGCACCCGCCGGCTCCTCGCACACAGGCAAGGAGCTCATCCTCATGGACACCACATTGACTGCGGGACCAGACAGAGCCCCCGGGCCAGGCTGGGTGATGGAGACCAGGAAGGAGGATGGCTGGAGATGACTTTGAAGCCTGGCACGCTGGGGAGACATGGGCTGCAGGCTCCCCAGCGAGGGGCTGGGTGGACCTCCTCCTCCACCATCACACCCTTTGCTGCTCCCTGCCCGCTTACCTGCTCGTTCCAGGGCAAAGCCTGCTTGGTCAGGTTGAGTTTGGGGTGTGTGGTGGCTCGGTTGGACCGTTGGTCTCTGGAAAACCAGCCGTCCAAGTCCTGCCCATCGTTCTGCCAAGGAAGCAGGAGGGAGAGATGAGAGATGGGGGGATTGGGGCCAGCCCGGCTGTGCTTGCAGGACGTCTCCCTAGATCTAAACATCTCATTTTGGATGTCAAGCATTGCCAAACCAATGCGAAAGCTTTCAAGCTAATGGCAAAGGAAAGCAGGGACAGGAGGAGGCAAAAAAATATTGGCAAGGTGTCCTAGGGAGCAGAGTTTCAAAATGTTCCAGCTAAACTTGTTTCCCTTCCTCTGCCAAGGAGAGAAACTTCTCCCAAACAGTGAGTTTTCTGTTCATCCAAAATATTTGCCTGGTCTGATGGGCTACTGGAAACAGAGTATTTTGGGCTCCGTCTCCAAAAGAGCAAAAGCAATCTCTACATCTGCTCATGGGTGGAGGAAGTGGGATGCTTCTCTGCTCCCCCTCTTCCTTTAGAAGGGATTAGGTTAATCCAATTGCTTGTGTCTTGTAACTTAGAGAGATTAGGTGAGCATTCATGTGCCCCCAGCTTGCCGAAAAGGTGATGGGTGGCAAGGAAGAGCCAGGCGTTACTGGAGCCCGCCCAGAGCATCCTCCTCTTCTACCACGTTGGCAGCCACAGGCTGAGCCGGAGCGAGCCCGTGCCACCCCCGTGGGCATTGCCCCAACTCTCTGCCATCACATCCCAGGGAGCGCAGGCAGAGGAGGGACATGGGGAAGGAAGAGCCACCAACCCTCTCCAAAGCGACCACCAACCCGCCACTCTGTCCCTTGCTTGGGGTGATGGGAAGCTGTGCCTGTCACACGGGGACCTGGCTGGTGTCACAGCCCATCGTCACACTGGTGACGCCTGCCCTCAGCACCAGCCCTCTCCGGGGATGGGACCGAGGGGGGCATGGATGGCCCTGCCACCTGTCCCAGCAGGATTCACAGTCATCGTCCCCCATGGCCTCAGCCAGGCAAGGAGGGACCGTGCCACCCCCCGAAGAGCAGAGCCGACCCTCTCCGAAAGCAGAGCCCGGCCCCAAGCCCAGGCAAGAACAACCACAGCATCGACAAAGCACAGCCCATTAGGATGCACAGTGCCAAAGAAATAATTAGCAAACTTTGCCTAAACAACTCATTAGCATCCCGGAGGAGGGGAGCAGTGCCCTTGAAAGACGTGATTAGGGACGTGGCATAACTGTGCCGTGCTTGTTGGAAGGATTCATCCTCCTCCCGGGGAAAGCCGAGATGCAATTCCCGCTGTCCCTCTCTGTCCTCACCCAGCACCAGCCCGTGCTTTCTCCGGGCACCTCATTTTCTTCCTTTGTCCGTCTGTCCCTTATTTCTGAGGAGCTGGGAGAGATCAGAGCAGCGGTCATCCTTTCTCGCCCATCCCCTGCCAGCCAGCCAGGTGCAATCAGCCTCTTCTCCATCCATATTTCTCACCACTTAATTGCTGCCTAGCCCAAAGCCGGCTCTCCTTTCTGGCACGTGGCTCTCCACCCCCAGCACCGGGAAAAACCTCTCTGTCCCTCTGTGGAGAGGGACCAGGACAGGTCTCCATCCCTCCATCCCTCGGGTGAGACGTGGAGAGAACAAGCCACCAGCATCCCTGTCCTGCCCCAAAGATAAAGGACCAGCTGTGCTGACAGCAAGATCCACGGTTGGGAGCTCACCAGGAGGAAAGTTTTCCATCTCCTTTTTTGAAGCAGCATTTTTTTGCTCTGGTTTGCAGAGTCCTTTCGAGCAGGCTGTTTGCTTTCAAACTGAAGTGAACTTTTCCCCTGCCTGCCCCAACAGAGGGGACTATTCACAGCCCAGCTCCCCGCAGCTGGAAACGGGGGGTGGGTTATTTGCTGAAGGTGGGCTGGGCTTTTAATTGCAGAGCCAGTGATGCTGTAGATGTCCAGCAGCTGTGAAAGACACCGAGCAGGGCTAGGCATAAAGCGATGGGCACCAAGAGGGCTCTGGCTGCAGGGACGGGACTCGATGCTTTCTCCTCCCTCCAGACAATGAAACACTCACCCGTGCTCAAAGTACCATGGCTTGGGAATAGCCCAAGCAATGCCCACCCCGATGGCAACTCGCTGTCATGGGGACTTGCAGCAGTTTGGCAGTGACCTGCTGTTGGGATGGGGCAGGGGAGACCACGTGGCTTCCCTCTCCCACCATCCCACCGGCCTGCCCTGCTCCGAAGCCTCTTGGTGACAACAGGTTGAACAGGGGACAGCAGGGTGTTGAACAAGGGCTTGGTGACAAGTTGAACAGAGGACAGCAGGGTGTCCTCGTGGCTACGATGCCAAGTGTGTCCTGGGTTGTTAGCAAGGAGAGATCCTCTCTCCAGTTTCTGCTTGGAGACCCCACCTGGGGTATACCGGGTCCAGTTTGGGGCTCTCCAGTCTAGGACGGACAAGCGGAGGTTAGCAAGATGGAGCAGAGGACACAGGAGAAGGTGGCTTTGCCCAGCAAAGCAGGACCTTATTGCCATTGACAGCTACGCAAGAGAGGGGTGCAGAGAAGATGATGCCAGACTCTTCTCAGAGGAGCACAGCGACAAGGCAAGAGGCATAAGGCGCAACACTAGAAGTTTCAGTGGGATATTAGGGATTTTTTTTTATCCACCATGAGGGTTGCTGAGCAGAACCAGAGAGGCTGTGCCCTCTCCATCCTTGGATCTACTCTGTTGGACAAGGCTTGGAGCACCCTGCTCTAGTTGGCCGTGTGTTGGGTAGGGGACTCGGACCAGCAACCTCCACAGGTCCCTTCCCACCTGACCACGCTCCGGCTCTCTGATTACCATGGGCTCCTCCTCGCGGCTCTCGCTGGAGTCCTCGGCTTTCCTCCGCCATGCCGATGCCTGGGCTGCTGCCGGCCGCCGGCCAGGATCAGTCACCTCCCCCAGCCTCTCGCCATCTGCGAGGGGAGCAGAAGAAGAAGGAGGAATGAGACCACAGCCACCTCCTCCCCATCCCAACACCGCTCCTCTTTTGGGGACACCCCCTCACCCCAGCATGGGGAAGGGCAGGCGCTGCCATCGCCGCTGCTCCCAGCGGGGAGGTCTGGCTGCGATTCCCCTCATTACATTTGTACTAAGCAGCTTGCAGCAGCTCATCAGCATCAGGTTTATTTACACCCCCCGCAGTCCAGTTCGTGGCCCTTTACGTCAGGGACGGCTGGGGTAAGCTCCCGTGGGATCTCACTCCACATCCATCCTTGGCGACGCATCCCTGCTCCCCTGCCCCTCCGGTCCCTGGCTCTCCCAGAGCATCCCACGGCTCTACCCAGAGCACACCAGCTCCAAGCCCCCCCAGACATATTCTCCCCAAACCCATCTTCCCACCCCCCAACACCACGCTAAAGGCACCATCGCGAAGACTTTGCTAACAGCGCCGTCGCAGATGACTTCGTTACCGTGTGCTGCATTAATTATTCCCAACCTACGGACTCCCCTCTGCAGCTCACACCCATCTTCCTCGGGCTCCGAAGGGAGGGTTTATTTTAAACCGCCCTCGCTTCCCAGCATTAAAATAACTGACTTCCCCCAAAATAATAGTGCAGACTTGGAAAATGTATTAGTTATTGGGGGGGCAGGGCACATCCCCTTTCTCTGCCACAGCAGATGGGTGCCTCTGAATTTTTTAGACAGGCACCCCAAAACCAGGGTCAGATGGAGGGAGGTGATGCAGCGGCTCCTCCGCTGCCGCGGTTTGACTGTCACTTCTGGCATCCGTGTTTCAAACTGGCGTCAAGGGAAGCTCAACGCGATGCTCAGAGAGGCAGGTGTCTAAGAGCCT